AGAGGGCACCAGATTAGGTCAAGATGTGTATAGAAAACCCACAAATGTAGGTTTCCTTTAGGATTTATTCTCCAACCATACTTATGTGGTTGAAGTAGGAGTTATGAAGTCTGGCAGATGTTAAACATCGGGACCAAGAACTGAGGAGACTAAGGCGAATTCTGGTTAATATTAATTTTCCCGGAGGGCAGTTTGACAATTAGTTTATAATATTGTCAAATAGAATGAAGGGAAATAAATATTTGGGGCTAGATAAAAAGATAGATCACTCTACCAGCAACCTTATGCTGTCTTTGTGAAATCTGTCCAAGAAGATAGGTGAATTACTAAGGCGGTGGGGCATCAGGACCATTTATAAAGAGAAAATAACACACCATCCTTGGTATTGCCTTCTTTTCGGGGAGAGACTGACCCTCTCTCAAGATCGGGCTGTTACATGATTTTGTGTTCATGTGGTAGTGACTATGTGGGAGAGACCTGTAGGCCCACACATAAGAGGTTATCTGAACACAAGACAGCCGGCAAGGGTATGTGGATCCAAAAATCTGAATTGGCCGAACACATGGCTCGCACAGGACACCAGATAGATTGGTCTAATGCCAAGCGCTTAGCTGGATATGGAGACTATGACAGTAAGCGAAAGATTAGGGAGGTGACAGAAAGCAACAAAACAATCAACACTCTGAATAGAAGGAATGAGTGTAGTAAGTTAAGCGGAAACTACGTGTGGATAGTGGATAGGTTTAGAGAGAGAGAGGAGTACCACCGAGCAAGAGGAGGAGGCTGGAATTCGGTCTTAACTCTCACATCACACTCATTTCAAGAGCAAAGGACTCACACAACATGTGTTCAATGGGACGCAATCACATGCGGTAACATTGAAGGATCAAAGGCATGAGTATTTTGGTGAAGGATGCAGCTGTTCGGTGCCAATTGCACCCATTTCACGCTTTATATGCAGCCACTTCTCATGCCATCCGCATCCACTTAGCTCAACTTATGGGCAAATAGGGAGGCAAAGCATGGGACATTCAAGCAAAACAAGAGATGCATAAGTGGGCCAAATTGGAATATAAGAAGGAAGTAGGCTTGAAGTCGGCCACCTTTCTTGCTTTCGTGTTTTTGGTGAATTGTCGTTAAGCCTAGTGACGATGTCCGTGACATGCCGGACGAAAGCTCAGCAGGGAGTCATCGGGGTCGCAAGGGGGTACGTCGAGGACCTATTCGCACAAATCTACAACTACAGCTCCAAGGCAACCTCCCCACAGTCTCCGGTTGAACCTACTTACAAATCACTGCCACTCGCCTCTTCAAACGGAATTAAAGGTAATCCAACATGAATTGTCTCCGTCGCCTCTTCTATCCCTAATGCCAAGTATATAAATTTATTATGTACTAGTCTCTTGATTGCCAACCCGCAAATGTGATAGTTTTAATTGATTCAAATAGGCTCACTGTATGCATCTTTTCATCGTTTCCGATTGTTCTTCTCTGGCCTCCTCGCCAGTTCTTTTCATAAAATTAAAGATGTTACCTTCTTTTTGCTGATCTCCTTCGAGTTTTCTTAGGCAGTATGCAAACTTTTCGCTAGTTTTGCGAAGAAAAGTTGGGTTTAGAGGAATCTCTTGTTGCATAATTGTTGAGCTTACTTCCATTTCGAGGGAAAGTGTTTGGTGAAGAGATTCGAATGAGTTTCCATTGAATTTCACATAGCCTTGCTTTCCCAAAAGTTGTTCTCATCTAAGCTGGACTGAAGTTTCGACTTAGAATCGGTCTTATCAACACCCTCAGCGGGAGTGCAGAATGGAAACTTGACACGTTAACCACTCTGCCACATTGCCACAAGTGCCTTTGGGTCACAGGTCAAATGCGAATTCCAAGGAAGGCCAGGCGTTTAGCCATATCCTGTTCTTTGGTGGGATTGTCGATGAAGCAAACGTATATTTGTTATAACAATCGACTACGTTACTTATTATTCGTATTTA